TTCCAAAGAGGATGGATCTAGACTGTTCTCAGTGGTGGCAGATGACAGAAGATGGAGCAATGGTTTCAAGTTGCAGTGGGGGGGAGGGGGGTTAGGATGGGTATTAGGAAAAAACTTCTTCACTGGAATGGGTTACTTAGGGAGGTGGTGGAATCTCCTTCCTTAAAGGTTTTTAAGGCCCTGCTTGACATCCTGCTGGGGTGCTTTAGTTGGTGTTGGCCCTGCTTTGAGAAGGGGTTGGACTAGATGACCTCCTGAGGTCCCTTCCAACCCTGATATTGTCTGTGTTCCAACAGCTATACAGCGTGCCCAGGCACCAAGGTGATGGGTGCCTTGGAGCTATCGTTGGCAGTCCCCGTGTTGTGCTAAATTTGAGAGCCGGTGCGTGTAGCCTCCTCTTAAAATAGAGGTGGGCAAACTTTTTGGCCCAAGGGCCACATCTGAGTGGGAAAATTGTATGCAGGGCCCTGAATGGAGGGGGAGGGTGTGTGGTGTGCAGGAAGGGGCTCAGGGCAAAGGGTTGGGGTGCAGGAGGGGTGAGGCAGGGGGCTCAGGGCAGGGGGTTGGAGTGTGGGGTGCAGGAGGGGTTTGGGGTGTGGGTTCCAGCCCAGCACCGCTTACCTCAAGCAGCTCGAGGGTGGCAGTGGGGCTAAGGCAGGCTCCCTTCTTGCCCTGGCCCTGTGCCACTCCTGGAAGTGGCCAGCATGTCCAGCAGTGGCTCCTGGGGGTGGGGCAAGCGGCTCCACCATGCGCTGCCCTTGCCTGTGGGTACCTTCCCGAAGCTCCCATTGGCGGTGGTTCCCTGTTCCTGGACAATGGGAGCTGTGGGGGCGGTGCCTGCAGGCAAGGGCAGCACAGGGTGCTCTCCCCTCCCCCAGGGTCCATAGAGACATGGTGCTGGCTGCTTCTGGGAGTGGCGCGGGGCCAGGGCAGGCAGGGAGCTTGCCTTAGCCCTGCTGTGCCACAAGGCTGGCAATCCTGCGGGCCAGATTGAAAGCCCTGACGGGACGGATTCAGCCCGCAGATCATAGTTTGCTCTTCCATGTCTTAAAGACACAAATGGGAGACCCACTTGCAGTGAGATAAGTTATAATGAAACTCCATTGATAGGACCAGATCCTGAATTCCTCACTCCCAATTTTACTCAGGCACCAATCTCACTGCTGAGGTATAAATGGAAGTATGGGGTTCAAGTTTTGGCGTGTGTATCAAAATCCCCAATTGTTTTTCAGCACGTCAGTGTTTAGGTTGTTTTTTCCAGTTTGAATGAAGATTGGTTGAGGGTGGGGAAAGGAAAGACCACTATGGGCCAGAGACGTGCAATTTGTAGGTTCTCACAGCAGTTTAACTTTGCAGTTCAGCATATACTAAGGGTACGTCTATACTTGCCTCCGGGTCCGGTGGTAAGCAATCGATCTTCTGGGTTCGACTTATCTAGACGCGATAAATCGATCCTGGAAGTGCTCGCCGTTGACGCCGGTACTCCTGCTCCGCGAGAGGAGTACGCGGAGTCGACGGGGGAGCCTGCCTGCCGCGTCTGGACCCGCGGTAAGTTCGAACTAAGGTACTTCGACTTCAGCTACGTGAATAACGTAGCTGAAGTTGTGTATCTTAGTTCGAAGTGGGGGGTTAGTGTGGACCAGGCCTAATTTGCAGCAGCTGAGGATCTGGCTTGGTATTTTTTGTTACTAGAGTGAGTGTTAAATATATACTTTGAATGTTCACAGTAGGCCAGAATCTGCTCTCTCCCTGTGGCTTCAGCTGAAATTAGCATTATTCCCAGAAGAATGAGTCCATCAGTAGAAGCAAAAAAGGATAAATTCTAAGCTTCTGTTAATTTAATCTTACTAGTTATTTGTCCTAATATTGACAACTGTTAGAGGGCTGATTGTAGGCTTCAGAGCAGTAGTTTGAATAGATCTTTTCTGTACTAAGGGATTTAAGAGAGAATGCTTTTAAATTTAAAAATACATGGGACTGCTCCACCACTGTGTTACTCCAATTTTACACTAGTGCAACTCCACTAAAATCACTAGAGATACACTGACAAAACTATAACAACACAGTAAAAAAACAATGTCATGTATATTTTGCAAAGCTCGTATGGAAAACTGGGTGTATAAAATCAGTTTACAAGAGGAGACAAGAATAAGGAATCCTAGCAGCTTTGGGGTAAATTGCTTGGAAGCAGTGGAGGTTGTGTGTGGTGAAAACTGGTTGTGTTGGTGAATCAGTGAAAGAACAGTTTGTTTTCCTATGAACATCACTGATATTTGAAGTGAAGACCCGCAAGAGGTTAATCTTACATGGACTTTAATAATAAATAAATAAACTGTTTACACTAATGCCTGGATTTCAGCAGACAAGTCTTTAGTTTTACTCTGAGTAACAAAAGCCCACAACAGACAGATCAAACAATAACACAGGCTGAAATATTAAAGAAATGTGCACTTTACAAAAAAGCTATTAATCAGTTGTTGGGGAACAAGGATGATCAGCACCCTACATCTCATGCCCCATGCTGCACTCCTTAGACAAAATGTCCATTGATTGACTTCAGGATCTGACCCTCAGTGTATCAGTGAGATCCTTTGATCAGCTTTGGTGTAAAGCATCAATGAGCCTGTGCAGGGCCAATGCAGAATCCTCTTCCATAGTGCAGAGGCCCTCATGTGCTGTGGTCTACCTTGCACCTTCTTGTTATGGAACTTAAATGGTGAAGAGATCTTGGTACTGGCTTTCCACACTCTGGGTGCATTCCACCCAATATGACTAAAACTGATAGTTGAGCATAGTTTAAATCTTGGAGTGTTGGAAGGTACTGTACTTCTCTAGAAAGCCATTAATTCAGAGGAGCAGAATTTTGCCTGCAATATATTTATAATAGATCTAAGTGGTACCCTTAAGAAGGGGGTGGTGTATGTATAAATTAGATGTATACATAATATAGTTGTGTTGCCAGTAATATTGCCCTTGGAAAATAACTAGTCAGCAGTGTCTATAAGGAAGTTGATTAAACTGATGCAGTCTGTTTTTTCTTGTGACCCAAATCTGTTGTAACTTTTTTCTTTTCTCTTTCATATTTCCAAATTTACATATCTTAAAGTTAGTTTTAGCTGAGTCCTGTCTCTTAAAGGGGCGAATCCTATATTCCTAATGCACCTAGCATTTCCAGTTAAGTCAATGGGAATTTTGGGTAGGCTAGGAATGCAGGATTGGGCCCTTAGCAGTTTCAATATTCTTTTATTTTATTTTTTTTAAATAACCCTTTGTCTTGTGGAGTTGTTGCCCACATTTCCATTCTGAAGAAGTCAATTTGGGGTGGGGGTGTGAGGGCATTCCTAATGAAGGATTAGGCAGAAGAAGGGAAAGGAGAGAAGAGAGGACAGAAGAAGGGTGAAACATAAGGCTAAGAAGAGTGAGACTGGGCAGCTAAAGAGTAGATAGGAAAGGGGTGGGATGAAGGTGTATCAGCAACTAACGGCAATGCAGTAAAGGAGAGAAAAAAATCCAGAGCTGTAGTTTCAGAATGGAGTGAACAATGATGTCAGGAGGCTAAGATGGTTCCTCCTGGCTGCTGGTATCTGTGGAGAGCATAGATGACTGGTGCCTCCCCATACTGGGGGTACAATCCAAAGGAGAGGACACATGACTTCCCATGTCTCCCCTGCTGCGCCCAGCCCCACGTTACCTGCAGGGAGGGGAAGGGCGAGGTCTGTCCTTCTCTACCTGCGCCTCTTCCCCCATGTTTCGCTGCTCTCCCTGGCAGCTAGGTGGGGACTTAGGACAGAGCTGCTTCTACCTGAGAGAGCCTGGTTGGGAGGCAGGGGCGACCCCTCAGAGCTCCTTTCCCTCCCCACCCCTGGCAGGCCAGTCTAAGGTGGGCACTTGGCCCCCTACACACTGCCTCTGGTGGAGAGGGAGAGGAAGCTGATGATTTTGGTGCCCTAAGTGGGTCCCTCTGCATCTGCTAGTGGTGATGGTGAAAGGATCTGGATACTTTTCCCCACAGATAAAGACAGTCATCAATTTCTGATAACTGTTTAATTTTTTTCCCCAAATCAAAAACCCATTTGAAGCTAGAAGTCATAGGAGCATATCACTCAAAGCAAACAGTGTCACTAATACAATAGTCTCATGTCTAATGTTCAGAGGACTGGTGTGTGTGTATGTAGTCTTAAAAAGAGACCGACTACCTGATCTGGAGGAACATTTGACTTACTTCATTTGTAATAATTGGGGTAGAAGTTTTTAGAGGTGCCGAAGGCAGTTAGAAGCACAAGCACTATTGAAAAATTTCTCCTTTGTTCTTTAAATATTAGATCTGATTGACCTGTATTTTGTTGGTTATTAATTTCCCCCTTCTTTCTTCCCCACTCTAGGCTTTCATACTTTAACCGCAATTTTTGTTTAAATATGTAGGGTGAAGTTTTTGATCAGTCTGACGTGGCTCTACCAAACTTTTCAAAGTTTTTCCGGCACCAGGCTAAAGAAGAGAAGGAAGCTGCAGAGGCCATGCTGAAATACCTACAAGAGAGAGGAGGCCATTACTGTACCAGAATCATCCAGGTGTGCAGCACACAAATCTGCTCTTCCATAATCAGCAAACTCATCTAAACATTTGTTGTGCATATCTATCACTCCCAACCTTTGGGTCTATACACCATTAGCTTTCCAAATATTTTAATTCCCCAATCATATTCACTTATACTCTTGTTCTTTAGGGACTGTTTTTTGTTTGTTTGTTTTTATTAGACATGCAACCCTGACTCTAGGGTTTGCATTTGTCTAGTCAAAGATAAAATGAGGGCACTCATTCATATTTTTCTCTAACATTTTGCTATCCTACTCAGTCTGGTGTTTGTTGCTATGGTAGAGGTAGCTATGCAGAACTTTTGCCTACTGACTCTGAAACTGAGGGCCAGATTCTGGCCTCAGTTCTCTGTGGTGCAAGTCCATTGACCTCAGTAGAGTGACTTCAGTTTTACACTGGTATAATAGAATTTGGCCCAGAAGATTTTAAGCCAAATTTTAATCTCCCTACACAAGTATAAATCAAGAGTAACTTGAAATCAGTGAAATCGTGTGTAAACTCTTATAGGAGACTCGGACTTCTGTATCAAACTAGTGTCCTATAAACAGTTAAATGTGTATTTCTACTGTATGCCCTTCACAGCATTCACTTATAGCAGCCATGAGTGAAAAAAAGTTGCCCTTAAATAACTGTAACACATTCAGTTTCCATATTGTAGAGAGGGGTTTTTTTGGGGTGGGGGATATTTTGTTTGGGGTTTTTTGTTTTTTGAGAATGAACCTCAGTTATAGCTGCAGCTATCTGAATCCTTACTGTCTGAATTGAAACATGTTATTGTTAGTAAGTATACTGGAAGTGGCGGAATCTGACCACTGACTCAGAAAAGATTTAGTAAATGCACAGAAATGGAAGGAGCTGTTGCAAAATCCTAGTATCCTTCTGCAATGCATTTCTTGTTTGGAAAACCAGGTGTTTCAGGGAAATAGCAATGACTGACAATTCTGTCTTGCTTTTTATGTTTCCAGAGACCAAACTGTGAACATGTATCCAATGTGGTGAAGGCCCTTGAAGTAGCATTGGTTCAATGGAAAACAGTGACAGGATATTTTGAAGAGCTTTATGCCCTGAGCATTGAAAATGCAGACCCTCATAGTGCAAGTACTATTAAGAAACAATTTATTGAACCCAAGATCCGGAAGATCAAGTTGATGGGAGACCTCCTGACCAATGCTCACAGGCTTGTGTGTTCCCAAGATGGCAGAGGCAACCTTGGAGACTACCTTATGGAACGGTTACAGGAAGAGCTAAAAACAGGCATAGAGACAGATTCTAGGCACCACTGCACCCCTTGTACATCTCTTCAGCAATGTAGAGGGACTGCAAAGGGGTTGCAACGGCCTCCAAAAGAATTCTCCCAGAAAAGCAGCAGCATAGGGCCAATGCATGCAAACCAGTGCTGTCCTTCCTCACAGTCTCTGTGCAAGGATATGCCAGGGGCAAAACGGAGGCAAGAGAAGGAATAGTTGAGGCACTATCTCCATTCTGGGCCATGTAGAAACCTATCGGCAGCCACAGGGGGAGGCTGATGTAAGTTGTCAGCCCCAGGGATGGTTTGGCTCCAAATGGAGGCTAAAATCCAGGAGATGAAATGATGGTTTAAAGCCCCATGACTCCGCCCCCCCTCCCCCTTTACACTTTTCCTCCTGGGCTGTGCTTTCTGGGCTGTGCCTCCTCCAAAGTGCAGCACAATCTAATCTGTAATATACTGCCTCCTTGTATCATAGATATTAAGGCTGCTAGATGTAGAGAATGTCAACATTAATTTAACCTTTCAGAGTCTCTTACCCATAAATGTTGTTTTGTCTTTTTTTGTTTTTTTTTTTTTTTGGAAACTACCAGACCTCTAGGTTTCTTTCCTGTCTTAAATGGTTGATTGGATTATTTAGTGCAAAAGAGAGTTTAAGTATATACAGTTTTTTTTAAAGAAAAAACCTTTTTAATACAGAGTAATTTCTATGCTGGAGAAACTATAGCTGTTTATATTATTAAATAAGATAATCACTATATTATACAGCGGTGCTGGAACTATTTTTATGATGGGGGTGCTGAATATGGAAACCATGTATTTGGGTTGTTGTTACTACAAGTCAAGAGCTGCAGCAGCACCCCTAGTTCCAGATTATATCAATACAGATTGTACTATGTAATCATTCTTAAACATTTTTACTGTCTTGGTAAATATTACATGGATATTTAAGAGACTTGTTCTTAAAATGAGGGGGATTTCCATGATATTTGTATAACTTTTGTAGCAATTATTATAGAGTAATTCAATAAACTGCTTTCTATCAAAGTTATTTCTAGTTCTACACTGCTCAAAGATGAAGGATATTAATGTTTTTTGTACACAGTTATGAGTGCTTATTTGTAGGAACATGGCATTCCACTGTTTCTGACTATTGGGCTAGTTATCTGCTTTGCTTGCACTCAAAGGCTATTTGATGGATGGCTCAACTCCCTCTGAATCAGTAATGAACTAGTGTGCCAGAAATTCCTTCTACTGGCTGGACAGCATATTGTTTAAGAATTGCTGTGGCACTGGGACATTACCCAGGGTACATTCTGGACAAATGAACAGCTGTGTCCCCTCAGTTCTCCAACATGGGATGCCTTTTACACTGCTTTGCTGTGAGAGTTACAACACCTGGTCTGCTCACACACAAGCTTCCAGCATTCAAATTACTCCCAGTTATACTGCAAGAGTGCTACAGCCAGCTACCCTTGAATTACACTGCAGATCAACATCAGCAAATTTCCAGTCCCTGACTTTCCACCAGCTCTCCTGGACAACACAAGCTTATATAAAGTTTGGCAAAACAGAATTTGTGCACATCATTTCTATTAATAAAATGACAAACACACTGTTTAGATAAAACGATTACAAGTAATGAGGCATAAATTGGTTACAAGAAAACAAAACACAACAAATAGCTAATATAACAAGCTAAGTGAATTTGAAGCAAAGGTCTCTCACCACATGTTACAGCAGTCTTAGTGGCTGAATTCCTTTGTCAGGATCCCTCCCTCACTCCCATACTGCTTCCTCTGTTTGAGTTTCGTTGATGCCATGAGTAGGGAGGAATAATTTAGGGTGTCGTTCTCTTCTTTGAGAATCATCTCTAGCTGAGGTTTGGGAGACAAAGTCTGTGTGGACAGGAACCCCCAGCTGTTTTTGTCGAGATGTAATTTTTTTTCACCCACATCCTCTTTCCTGTCAAACAATGGCCACTTAACCAGGTGAGAGTCCGTTTGATTTTTGTTGACACCTGACTGAAGCATAGATTAACCTTTGTCTTTAGGGAACTTGTTTGTGACTCGTTCTCAGACTGAGAACATGTCTTTAGTAATACACAGTAGACTCCTATAACTTTACATACAGTGTTGCCATACATCTTACCAGGACAATAGTAATCAATAAATTAAGTTTTCAAATAATACCTCACAAGGCATATGTTTAATAACACTTACAGTTTTCCAAAGGGGGTGAAAATACATGTACAAGCTGTCAAACCATCTTTCAGATAAGATTTAAAACAGTTCTCTGCCATTTGCCATCACAGATACCAGGGCAAACTGAGGTATTAACCATAGTGTCCTGGCCAGATTGAGACCTAGGCAACTGCATTAATTCCCATACACATTCTGCTATTACTTAGTGGACCAACCATCAGAATTTCCCAAATTAGCTGTAGGCAGGAAATAGTAATGTCCAATGTTGTATTCTCAATGTATCCAGTATAGCTATGGCTCATTGGGCACTCCTTGAGTGGCCCTTTTAGTTGCTACTCAATTTTGCTTTTCAGTATGTTACTACTGTATTCCCAATATAGAACTAAATCACTGTATGACAAAATTTAAACACTTTGGAGTTGCCTACATCAAAAGATTAGCTAGTGTATTTGAAATTTTCTTCAAATTGTTATTAATACTCTAATATTCCTAATATCTTTGGAAAAGATACAATTTCTAGATTTAAAAAAGGCACTTTGTAGATATAATGCTATTATTCTCGATTTACTCTCTCCTTTATATATATTTTTATTTATATATATGCTAATACTTATCTACAGGCAAGATTTCTTTAAGCATACATACTGCATCTTTAATATCAGACTTGTCCCTTTATTTATCTGCTAAGGAGGAAAACAAAACTCCAGAAAACTGCAGTCAAGTGAAAACTGTCTGATTTCTTAGTTTGCTGTGCTGCACACAGCTGCAGCAAGTGCCAATTTCTGTAAATCAGACATTCTAGCCACTTACTTATTTTGGTAACACCTTACTCCATCTAAGTCACTTTCCCAATCTCCCTTCTATTACTCCAGTGGACTGTTCAGCTTCTTATGGAAAAAATAACTTCCTCTACCTTCTACCATAAAAATGCTACAGTATTCCACCAGAATGGTCTAAACACTGTACTTGTCAATGGCAATGTTTGGGATCATTTTCCTAGGCTGCTGCAATAGTTAAAGGGATACTTCCATCTCTGGATCAGATTCCAATACCCATACTCATGTTGAACAGTACCTTATTCCATAATTAGTTCCTCTGATTTCCATTTAATGTAAGCATGGGTAACAGACTTCAGCCCTTTGTAAATACCAAAATGCTGGTACAATAGTTAGTTGTGAATGCAACCAAACTACTCCTCCAATAACACATTACAGTTTTAAAAAAACAAAACACAAAAAACAAACACATTCAAGTAGTCTGTGAACAATTCTCACAATACCTTTCCAGAATCTGGTGCAGGCTCACTCAGTTTTCATCTTGGAAGGCTAATTTAGTCCCCTAGCCAACTCCCAAAACTTCTCCCATTGCAGGCTAAAGGGAAGTCCAACAAAACAAATAGTCCAAAATGAATCCAATATTTACAGTGCAGGGACTCTCATGTCATTCTTTATCACTGGACTTCTGCCACAGGACTTTGGCAGCAACCAACAAGTAGCTTCTGCTCTCTCTCCAGGTTTCCCCCAGGCTCAATAACCCAAAACGCTACCAAATGCTCACTACTTTAACCAGCTCCTTGGCACTCTATTTAGACTTTTTCTCAAGATTCTTCCAAAATACTTCCCAAGACCTTTGATTGGAGAGACCAAGCGTAAAATCTGTTCAGGAGGAATACCCCACAAAGGGTTGCTACCTCCCTAGTTTCTGCCTTACTGGGGAAAGGGAACTCTTTATAGCTCTACTCCCTTTCCCAGCAGTCATTGCTGCCTAGCCTACAACTCCAATAGTCTAGCTGCACAAGTTCCAGAATGCCTTATTTGAAGGCTGAACCAGGAACAGGTTTAGAGCTGATCTTTGAACTCCTCTTAAAGGGCCAGATAACACTGCTATATATAGTTATAAATTATTCCCATTTCGCAAATGGGACAACTAAGTTAAAGAAAAGTTAAATGGCTTGACAAGGTCATACAGTAAGCCTTTGACATAGCCAGAAGTAGAACCAAGCAGCCCTATCTCCCTGTCTCACGCTCTTAACAATTCTAATATGCCACCCTTCTTCCCAATTTCTCATTTGAAATAAATATGGTTTATTACACATCTAATATTATTAAAATACATATTTTTACTTTGTTTAGTTGCTAGGGAAATACTTCACAAAGAAAAAGGAAAGTCTATTTCTTTTTTGTGCCCAAGAATCACTGTTAGAATAGCAAAGGGTTGAAACAAGAAAAGTTCCACAAGTTTGCTACTTTACCTCTCAGGAACAGCTGGGATATATAATTATGAATGTGTTAGGGTGGTCAATAGCTGATCTCATTGGGACATATCGCTTTTCAGCGCTGGGGACAAAGTGAAAGAAGGAGGTAGTGGAGAGTCAGAACAATATTAAACCTAGTCAGTTTTCTGTTTAAAACAAAATTGATTTTGGGGGGGCAATGGTACAATGTGACTAATAGGGCTCTGCTTTGGCTCTATCAGAGAAGGCATAAGGACTTTTTAGATGGAAAATTGGGAACTCTTGAAAAATGAAATTACATTAAAAAGAATTAATCATTAATAAATAATCTAATTGAACTGTTGTATGAAAAGGAATTCAGGATTGGACTACAGTAAATATTTTGATTTTATGGACTATGAATAAAATAGAGGTCCCCATTGAAGTCAATGGGAGCTTTGTCCTTGACTACAATGGAGCCAGGATTTCACACTATGTTTATAACTGCAGAAGGGAAACTAATTTTAGGCCAGATTAGATTTTAAAAATATATATATTTTATTATTTATTACTCTATTGTGGCTTAAGATTCATCTCTTGCCTGTAGTTATCCTTCTTGTTCCAGTGCTCACTGCGGGTCTAATCCTGAACACCTTGCCCACCCAGAACCTCCACTTAAGTCAATGGGAGTTGCAGATGTACACCACATGGATGACCAGGTCCACTATGGTGTGAGCACTACACCAGATGAATTAAATTAACAATTTACTTAGATACAACTTTATTGTCAGTTTTGTGATTTTTTTTTACATTCTTACAATTCTTCTGAAATGTACACAAATACATTAAATATAACATTCTCTCATAACATTGCTGAGTTTGTTAGTGCAAACATAAACTCAACAATTTCTTACTTGATTTATGTACCCAGAAGGAAAAGAACTAACCATTCCATGAAACCAGCAAAGTAAGTTCTGAATTGAACTGGGGGGGGGGGGTTAATTTCAAATATTTGTTATTGCTTTATTTCATGAACAATGTTAGCGTGCTGGAAAACACACACATATACTGTTGCACCCTTCCAAGCAGAAGCTGCTAAGCAGTTTTAAAATCCCATTTATAATTTAATTATTATTGTTTTGTTTTATTTATTGAAACAACTAAGCACCGATCATAGATGTGGGATTAAAGGTTATGAAAGTCCAGTTAATGCTAACTGCAAACACACATGCAAGTATCCCTACTCCTATGGGTAATCTTATCCATGGGAAGTTAATCGCATACATAAGTCTTTGCAGGATCGGCCTCTTTAAAACAGAAGCTGAGGTGAAATTGTTCAAACACTTCTAAATCAGCAGAGAATTAACATCAGCTAAAACACTGGAAATAAGTGATATTCTAAACTGTGAGCAAAGCATTCTAAACGTTATATGTGAACTCTGTAAAGGGAGGGTCCCAGCATTTGTTTGGTGCTGACATTTTTTTTCTAAGGGCCAAACTCCCACTGAAATGTATGGGAGTGCATGCACAGCAAGAGAGTACTCAGGATGAGTGAGGACGGGTGTCAGATTCCGTCTCTAAGGGTTTAGCTACACTGGCAATTTACAGCGCTGCAATTTTCTGGCTCT